ATGGATCTCATTTTTCCGAATTTTACATATTTTAAAATGGAAATATGCTAATATTCTGAATATAGATTGATTTACCTTACCTTGATGTGGTTCTAAAGGTACCGGATCTTTTTATTTTGGAGTAAGGCATGAAGAGAGTGTACGGATTCAATTTTACATAATTTGTGCTGCTTGAATCTAGAACGATTATGTTGTTTGTTTAATATTAATTTGAAATTCTCAACCAATGTCTATTTTGCCCTATTAGGATTTTGTTTGGCTAGTGCGCTTACCATCTATGGCTGCGTCGCCACTTACCGTTTGGTGAAATAGCAGACAAGGACTAGGTAGTCCCTATAACAGCCCTGTAGTCTCTGGCTCATAGAATAGGGCTAAAGTATCGTACCGGACCCGTGCCTGTCGTGAAAGGCGACTAAAAGGTGACACGGATTGGCAGCAGTACGAAGTGGCCTCGAGCAAGACGATGAGGAAATCGAAAAAGGTTTATCCTTCTCCGAGGTTTGCTCATGCGCAGTACCGAGGGAAAACAGTGCGTTCCATATCAGATCCCTGAGTCCCTCCAAACAGAAGGTGGCCACCGAGGGTACGAACCCTATCCCACATAACCCCTGTCATGTGAGATATGACGGGGTATCTTTTGAAGATTTCCCCCACGATACCAATAAAACAAGTTGTCCCTTATAAAAAAAAACCTTAGGTCATACCCGTCTTTATAAAATACCGCGCGAATGAGCATATGCGCGGCCCTTGCCAACGCGGTGGGCCGATTCAAACTCATGGGTTCTGGCTAGCCCACGGGTTCTACTGCGATTGATATATTAGTGTATAACGTTTGTCATTCCATGATTATCGATTAAAACCTATCCACTGGCAGTAGCAAAAACCATAAGAATCGTTACAAACAACCAACCAAAGAAAAATATCAAGTTTACAATCAAATAATTTTGGATAAATGTTGAATTACGTACTGGGTATCTAGTGTAGAACGACCCCCCACTAGGTGGAGTGACGACGTGGGAAAATATGCCGGAAGTCGATGGATGCGGGTGGCTCACGATCGTACTTCGTGGCACCCTGTGGGGAAGGCCTATGTTCAGCAGTGGACTCATGGAATCAAAAGGCTGAAATGATGATCATCATGATGAAAATTAGTTTATTCATTGTAATTATTTCTTTTTCGTTGAAAATTGTATCGTTCTTTACTAACTACATTTGATTGTCAAATTAATTGGTAGCTGAAGACAGTACGAAGGTTAAGACCCAAAGATAAAAGATTTAATAGGATATTACGCACAGTAGGGAGATAAAACAGTCACAAGACAAAATAATCATTCGGATATGGCAATCAAGCAGTTTAAGTAAAAGAAATTAGAGGTTTAAAGTAAAATATTATAAGTTTTTTATGATCTTCGTATGAAAAGGTTGCTAAATAATTTTAGTAAGAATTAGAAATAGTGGTTCCATGTTTTGTTATATCATATTTTCTAATTTTATTTTCAGGCTCTCTCGTTCCCAACACCTAAGAATACATTTCAAGAAATAATGTCTTGAAAATGATTATATGGCTTGTAGAATTTGTATGAAAATATTCTTCAGAATTCTCTTGTTTCCTGGCCAAAAATCAGTCTTGGTAGACTGCCAAATCGTACAAGTGATAACTCAACACGTATTTTATGTAACGTAGGCAACTAAAGGGCTACAAAAACTCATTCGTTATAGATTCATCTGTAACTCTGGGGTGAAAAAGTTTTTTTGAGAAATTATCAGTAATCTTTTCGACTTTACCGCTCCACTCGACATTCGTGTTTTCTTTTCCGCATGTTTATGATTCATTGAAAAATAAAACAATATTAGTCAGTAATATTTATAATACACTGTATTCTCTCTGGCACTTATTAATATTCTGTCTTCACATAATTATTATGTCCATCCAAATGTTGCCTGGAAGAAATTGCTTTAAGTATTCAGGCCGCCCTTACATAATGTATTTTGTTCTATCATGGTGTGTACAATAAAGAACATTGAAACTCTTCATTCACGACTTTAGAATTCGTTTTCTATACTAATCGCACAATTAAGTTGTACAAGAGTTTCATTGCTTTGTTATGCAACATTACAATAATGGAAAGTTTCCAACTATACTAAAGGTAAAGTAACAGCCTATAAGTATCCCAATGCTGGGCGAAAGCCTCCTCAGTTCTCCTCAATTCCCTCATCCTTAATACCGTTTGGTATTAGCGCATAGTCTACGGCGTGACCCACCGCGGATTAGTGGACTTCACATATCTTCTAAATATTTCTTTTTTTTATGTGATAAAGTGGCAAACGACCTGGCGGTTTACCTGCTGTTAAGCCGCCCATATAAATTTGCAACACCCGTAGTGTTGCAAATGCGTTGCCACCTTTAAATAAAGTGGGCCCCGGCTACCTAACTCACAAGACGAAACGCAGTAGTATAACACTTCTACTTTACGCCGGTCTTCTGTGAGGTCGTGGAAACTACCCGGACCGACTTGCCCATTCGTGCAACAGTGATGAAAACTGTTACGTGGCCCTACCACAGTTAAATCTTCTAAAAATTTGTTATTTATTGTTATTTTAAAAGTATGCAGGTTTCCTCACGACGTTTTCCTTTTCCGCTTGTGATGTGCCAAAACTTGTAATTGTAATGAACAATTTCATTGGTGCTAACGTGTTGTGTTAAACTCTGTTTGCTCGAAAACGTTGAATTAAAATCGAGAGGCCGAACATTGAGCTATCACAACAAAACATTTCAAAACAAAAATTATTGTACAATTCACATCTATACAAGACAATAGATCGGTAAAGTCCATAAAAATGCTAATAGTACATATTTATTACGCACTTTTTACCTCATCATTAGAGTTTTTTTTTATTTTATTAGGAAAACTTCCAGCTATTAAGTAATTATTTTAAAAGAATATTATAGAATATATAAAGAGCCAATAACAAGTTTATTTTTAGAAAAATATTGCTTTGTTAAAGTTTCCTTAGCCATGTTGGAGAGGTAAAGAATGGATCGGTATTTCGTGAATTAATAAATTTAGCAGCCCTTATAATAAAATAATTGAATCTGTAATTCGTATGAGCTCTAGGTATGTAAACAAATTTTGCGTTTCCTCTTATTTGCTATAGGTACATTTATTTTGATTATATAATAGTGCTTGGCAATTATTAAACCGTTGCAGAGTTTCATCTAAAAACACACATCAATAATATCACACTATTTATTACAATATTAAAGTTTCGTGGCAACAATCCCTTAATATAAATGTTAATATTTAAACCTCTATATTATATTAGCTCCACTAGATAACCTTACATCGTGTACCCTTGCTACCGGCGTCTGATGGCTGTATTGCGGAAACAGGAAGGTGTTTTGCCTTCCGATATGTTATCTATACGCGATATTCATGTAAGCTTAGCTCGAGATTAACTGGAAACATTTATTTATCGTAAGAGCTTGTGGACTATTTATTTGTTAGAAACTAGTTTGTAACAGTGTCGACCGTTTCAAAATAAAATTATTACTTATTATTAGAAAAATCGTGATCATAAATTGTGTCATTTTAAAACTTGTTCGGTTAATACCGCGTGATTTGGAGCAACACAAAGATTTCTGAGAACAAAATTAGACAAATGGCTTAAATTGATATGTCTTAAGATGTATGCTATTAATGACAATCATTTTAATACCAATTGTATTTATCGCATTGGCATAATATGCTGGAATAAAAGCTTGTTCACGCTACTACACTAATCCACTACAGTGTAATGGATTAGTGTAGTAGTAATTTTTAAAGATATGTAGTCACTACACACTTGATTTATTTAATTAATTTGTAATTTGATGAATTAAATTGGTCGGTCGTAAAAAACTTGTTAAAGCCATTTATGGCATTATTAACTTGTTGTGCCTACGTCACCTAGGCGGGTATGATGTAGGCATGAGATATACCTGCAACATTCTGTACCCGACCTCTAAGGTACGGTATCGCCGTATACCCGGTGCTAAAACCCAGTATCAAAATACCTATAGGTATTAAGTTCAGGCCTCCTTTTGGAGACTCGATCGAATCGAACGACACGATATTTTTTTAGCAATCAGTTTTTTGAAATTGAGATTTATTCAGTCTAAAATAAGCTATATCTTTACTAGCGTAAAGAACGTTATTACCAAATAAAAGTAATTCAAAATAAATATTACTGTTTACCATTATTACGCAATTATTTATCTACCTAATGGTCATAGAAATAAAGAATAAATTTATCTCAAGGAATTATTTGGTATAAAATGCCTCAGGCATTCGAGTGCGAATGTTATGAAATACCGCAACCGTCTGACGAGGCGGCACTAGGCCCGCGTACTCGCGAGCGATATCGACTATACCTATCGGGTCCGGAACGGGCCTCTGCCGTACATACCCGGTCTGCGTACTGGTACGTTCATACTGGGTATTTATACCTGTTCCAGTTTATACGCATGGACATGTATTGGCTGTTACTTTACTTTTTTTTTAAACGTAACTATTATAGACAAAAGATAAAATATCAAGGACTCAATCACATCAATAATTCATAGTAGTGGATTGCATAATCCACGTTACACCAACATTATTTTGTCACGGCGGACGTGAGAATTATGACTATTTATTACGATTATTAAGACAAATAAAATTAGTAAAACTAATAAGAAAGAAACATGAAAACTTTTTTTATTTCAGTAAGTAGCAAGATAGCAGGCGGTTTACTTAACTCACTAACTCCCTGTATACAACACCTGAGGGCGTGCACATGCCTTCAACCTTTAAACATGAGCTGCGATTTTTACACTCTCAAAACGCTCAAGATTGCCACTGTAGATAACGATAATGAAACGAAAGAGGTTTTATCAAATAGATTTATCAATGTTACAATGCATTCAGACTAAGCTGTGAATGCGAATATTGTCTTCAAGTATATTATATGGTTTTGCCTTATTTCTTCAGATTCTTAACTCTAGAGTGTTGTAATACAATGATGTTAAATTCGGAATGATGTGCAGTCATCACTTCAAGTTTGTTCGTATGTAGTCTTATTACTAACACTTCGTCGAATGGATCCTAGAACAATGGAGAAACTATTTAATTACACGAATGGACTTAGTTCAACATACGAAGCATTGGGAACAACATATGAGGCATTGGTAGTAACGAAAGGCGTTGTCTTAATTTACTTTAAGGTATCATTATTGTATAGAGACCGTTACCATAGATTATATTTCAAATATAAGGTATAATCTATGACCGTTACCACCGTGAAAGCGCAATATTCGGGCGCTCGATTATAATTTAATATAGTTATACAACCTAAATTCAATATTAAACACTTTCAGAAGATAATATTTTTACACGACGTTATCTAGTTCTAAACTAAGCTAAACATAATAAAAACAAGTATTAAGTTTTGATTGTAATATGGATTTATGGGTTATGTAAACAACGGGAGTGTCACGATTTCAAGTTTGTACAAAAGTATGATTGCAATTCATATCTTACAATTTCCTTTACGCTGGCTTGCGCCATATGTCCAAGATTTTGCATAGCAGTTCCGTAGTTAGTTGCACCCATCATGTTGATATTCGTAAGTATTGGAGAGCCTTAAAGAGAAATAAAGAAAGGAAACAGTCGTTAGCCTAATATATCGAATTACATATAAGCATGAATACAGTTTTTGGAACTCTGTCCAAACGTTTCCATTGAAATTCCTTAAATATGTTTTCACTTTTAAATAACTATCAATATACTTTACACTATTTTGATACAGAGATTAATACACCTTATTAAGAAATCCGGACAAAGGTGCATGCCTAGTACAAAACGAACTAAACATAACAGAAATCTATTAAAAATATACAATAAAAAACTACCTTCTTTATTTGTCATCACGACACCTTCTACAGATTCATCCTCCATTAATCTATCGACTATAGGATTAACCTCGTTTAAGGATACAGTCTGGAAATTTAAATGTATGATACAAGGAACAATATTAAACTTTACAAACTTTTAAAATCCTCACCGTTTTAAGAAGCCACTCATCCTTTGCATCTTTAAGTAAATTAGAGATGATCTTCATTACTCGACAAACTGTTTCTTTTAAGAACTGTTTAATTGAATATGTTGTTACTGTGATTGTAACCTAGAGCTGCAATTGTTTAAATAAAGGTATTTACTAAGTAATTAAGTAACTTTTGAGTGCTGGAAAAATTATTAGTTTGACAACATAGCTAATTGATTAACATAAATAATGTAAAAATGTTATAACTAAGGCAAATAAAACAACGCAAGCCAACAAGCCCAACAAACAAGGAAACTGAAATATAAGCAAGAGAAAAACATGAATGAAAATGCCGGAAATCTTGTGCGATGATTTTTCTGCCACAAATCTTGCTTGTTATTTAAGTTTCTTTATAAACAGTATAATCAGAACTAACTAATGAAGATATTTCAATTCAAAGAGTAACTAAAGAATACAGTAAAACCGGAATCACAACATTTTTTCACGCGCACCATTTTTAATCTTCTTAATGAACCATCATCTAGATAAAATTATCATAGACATGAATTAATTGGACAAAATATCACTTTCATTTCACACCTTGGAAGTAACTTTGTGTATTGTAATTTGTACCAAGGCAGACTAATCATCATATTTATGTCTTAAAGCCATTCAAAGAGAAACAAAAGAAGATTAACAAATTATGATAGAATGAGCCAAGAAGTATGTTTTAGTTGATGATGATGAAAACCTTATAGTAACTATATCTTAAAAATTAATCGAATGCAATAATGATAATTTTGCAAATGAAATGAAACGGATAACTCAAAATCCTCAAATCTCATGAGACACTAACTACTGGTATAAAAGTAAATAAAAAGTTAAAGTATAAAAATACTATATTTGCTATAAATATTCATTAACTCGTCACACTTACTATATCAGATTTATCCTCCTTAGTTTTTAATTTTCTCGTCGACTTGTGAACCACGCAAGCGGTGAACTGTTTGTCCATGACCACCGCGATCTCTGTCCGATTTGTTTCCATTCTAAACGCGACTGGCTCGTTTGTGACATCCTGAAGGCCGCCAATATACGAATGGCTCAGTTAACACAGTCGTTGAGTTGAGTATTATTGAGATATGGTCGTTGCTTCATTCAGAATTGCGTAAAAATAAACATTCAAGACAAAATTAATTTTCTAAAGATAGACCAATATTTTGTTAAAATAAATACTTTTTAACATAATTTCAAATAATTCAATATACTCGAGCAACCTGAGTTCGATCCCCGGTGCCGGCACCAATGAAGTTTTGAACTTTAAGTGCTGACTTATCACGTGCTCCGCGGTGAAGGAAAACATCGTGAGGAAACCTGCATATTTTCGAAATAATAACAAAAAAAATATATATATTTCGAAGATATGTGAAGTCCGCCAACCCGCAGTGGGGCCGCGTGGTGGACTATGCCCTGATATCCTCGGTATAGAGGAGGCCTTTGCCCAGCAGTGGGACATGTATAGGCTGTTACTTTACCTTTTTACTTTACTTTATAATTTTAAAAATGTTGTCGATTTTTTTTAGACAATTCTTAAAAATATATTCTAGTTTCTATAATATTCTGAATTTGAAGATAAATTTGAGGACATGATAGTTTTTACTCTTCTCCTTCCTGTAATATAGAACTCACGATGTCAGTTACAGCTCGATGAACACCTGAAGTGATGATAGGCAGTTTCGTAATCAATGTCTTAGCTACATTTTCAGGAAGTGTACATAGTTCTGGATAGCCTGCAACATTTTATTAAATACGGATCAAAACAGTTACACATATCAGTTGCAAAAATAATTTATTGACAAAAGTTTATGAACGAGACAATTTAAAGGATAATTATCTTTCTCAACTAATTGTGTACTACTGGACTCCTTTTCCATAATATAAAAAAATAAAAACAATCTGATTATATAACAAGATGATTTTTTCTAAAACAAGGACACTGAAGTACATAGAATATATGTACAACATTGTATAGTAAAACTTTATTTTTGTATTTCAAACCCATTGCAGGGTTTTTATTTATAAAAAAAAAACGTGAAAATCCCGTAAAATTCATTTTATTAGTTTTACATGTAATGTATTGCGTGTGTATGCGTTTCCAATTAAAAAAGCACTTTCTTTTTGATCATTTGTTGAAAAGGTTCCTATAATCTCTGTTGCATGTAATTATGTTAATTTTTTTTTAACAATTCATAAATATAAATGCCGCGAAACGGTAGAGAGTGTTTTCTACTTTTCGCAATCATTACGCGCCCTTAACTCTAAAATTACTTCGATTTATTGATATATTTGTATTTTCTACTTACCTTTATGGATGTAAAGAACACCCAAAACATTCTGATTCTTATCGATTCGTGTAATAGTGTCGCAAGTAAATACAGAAAACTCCTGTGAATAAAAGGGTTAAGGGCTAGATCTCGTATTATTATCCAACTTAAATATACTGACACTGAAGATGACTAATATTATATATGTGCACTTTTGTCAGTGTATTTTTTTATGTGAAATGTTGTCAAGAGAGCAGACGGTTCACCTGGTGTTAAGTGAATACCACCGCCCATGGACATCTACACCCGAGGGTTTGCAGATGCGTTGACAACTATTTGAAAATTGGTCTCCGGCAACCTCACTCACCAGACGAGACGCGGAACTATTATACTTCCCCTATACGCCGGTCTTCTGTGAGGTCGTGGTACTTACCCGGACGAGCCTGCCCATTCGTGCAACGAATTTTAAAATTTTTATACACCTGTTTTAATATCCGTTTTTAAATTACATTTTTTTTATTCCAGCAGCGTCAAAAATGGTGATAGACGTGTCGTTGCACGGGTAGAGGAGTTTTGATTGTAATGGTAGGATGATGGGGTATCAATGCATATTTCCGAAAATATTAAACTACAGAAAAATAAATGATCGTTGACTCAAAATCAGCAATCAAAATAAAGGTTAATAATAACTTATGATATTAATAAGAATTATATTATGTTATTAAATCAATACGATCCCTAGAAGATTTCAGTCAATAATATCAAACGTTAGAGTCGTGCTTTAAACAGGCCGCACATAAACTTTCGCTTGAGTGGTAACCGATCAGGTCTAATTTGTGACTCAGACAAGACGAATTACAGGAACATGAAAAATTACTCATAAAGAGTTCAACTTGAGTTGAATTTTTATTGAATGTATGTAGTATGTTTCATGTATGTAGTATGTTTTCACTATGGACTGCCGAGTCTTTATCAAAATCTACGTAATGTTGAGTGTAATGTATAGGAATATCTAATAGAAACTAGAACTATCGGCAACACGAACGTCCTTTAATAAGTGACACGTGTTAACGTCGTATGATACAGAATTGCAATCTTACGGTTGGCAGATCTTTTGTGTTCAATCTTTTCTTGAAATTACTATTCATTTCATATATCTGTAATAAAACTGTATAAATTAATATACTATATATTAAAAAATGTTTTAATTATTACAATATAAAGATAAATGATGTACAAAACAAAATGTTATATGAAATTATATAAAATCAATAAGGCTATGGCATAGCGTCTCTAGACGTTGCAGTATGTTCCTGACCATAATTCCTCAAATATATTTATTTAACTTTAATTCATTACAAAACTTGCAGCAATCTTAACAATATTTGAGGAAAGACATTTACGACAAACCCCAAAAATTGTATGGATTACCAAAAATAAACTTAGCCATTACTCTATTCTTCCCAATTATAATCCAGATTGATCCATTAGCCTACAGACTAGGTCAACATCTTGTTCCAAGGCGTTATCGCAGACTACTTGTGCGATAGGTACATATTATATAGGGACAAAGACAGCAACAAGATCCGGAGGGAAATTCACTGCGGAGTTCCACAGGGGTCTGTTCTTGGCCTTTTACTGTGGAACGTGGCCTATGCTGGCTAATGTGATGACACATTAATAGTCTTTTTTTTTTTTTTTTTTTTTTTTTTTCTTGATTTTACGCGAATATTATACATATAAAATGAAACTACTTTACGGATTTTATCGCGTTTTTTATTTTAAAATAAAAAACGCGATAAAATCCGTAAAGTAGTTTCATTTAATACATTCGCTATCGGGGACACCTTCGAGGGGACCAAAGACCTCGCCGAGCTTGGGGTGGTAACCGTCGTCGCCAAAATTCATGAGTTGGGTCTAGAAGTACACATAATACCGAGGTGATGTGGTTCCATAAAATGCCACGAGGCAGGGAACCACCCAACTCATGTGTCCGTGTGGTTGGGTCTGGAAATCAGGGTAGGTCGGTACATGAAGTACCTGGGCCTAATCCTAGATAGTCGCTGGGGTTTCGAAAAACACTTCGAGCGCCTAGTCCCCCGGATCGAGAGGGTAGCGGGTGCAATGCACAGACTGCTACCTAATCTTGGGGGACCAAGAGAAGAAGTTCGCCGCCTCTATGCTGGGGTTGTGCGATCCGTAGCCTTATATGGGGCACCTGTTTGGTCAAAAAGGCTCACCATCCGACGTTGCAGGTCTAAGATCTACAGTGTCCAGAAGCGGATGGCTATACGGATCGTACGGAACTATATCCTTTGAGGTGGCAACTGTCCTGGCTCGCTTTCCACCTCTGGACATATTTGCGGAAATGGACGCAAGAGTGTACCACCGAATTCGCGCCCTTCGACAGAGTAGTGGCAGCGAGCCAGAAGAGGCGCTCGAGTCGATCAAACGATAGGAACTGCATTCTGCTTTCTTGGTCTGGCGCTCTCGGCTCACCCAAGAACACTACGCACATAAACGCGTCGTGGAAGCTCCTGCCAGTCTTCGAAGCCTGGATGCAGCAACGGGAAGGCAGGCTCACCTACAGACTTACACAGATAATCACTGGGCATGGATGCTTTGGTGATTATCTGTGTAAAATCGGACGTGAGTCGACGGCAAATTGTTTCCACTGCGATGGAAGCTACCAGGATTCCGCAACCCATACCCTGGCGGTATGCCCAGCATGGGAGACAGAGCAGAGTATCCTGGTAAGCTTCATTGGACTAAACCTTTCCTTACCAGCAGTTGTATCGGCGATGTTGAGTCGAGATGCAGCATGGAGGGCCGTAATCTCGTTCTGCGAGACCGTGATGGTCAAGAAGGAGGCTGCTGAGAGGGACCGAGAGAGAACAGATCCCTCTCGGAGACGGGGTCATCAAGACGAGGGTACACTTCGTTACGGTCCTCCATGCATAAATGGTGTTCCCCTACCGGAAACGGGGCTTCAGGGATCGCGGGCAACTGGGCCGCTTTAGGTCAGTACAGCGAACCTAAGGGCGAACCAATGGCTTGAAGTAGGTTTAAGCTATCGTGGTTGCACCACAAGGTTGGGTGATTATATAACTGGGACGAGGCTACTTAAGCCAAGCCAAGGGGGACCGCGGTAGTGTTCCAGACGGAGATCCCGTGCCCCCCATAAAAGCTAATGGCGACCACCGTGGGGTTTTAGTCGGTGTGAGTCCGACATAACCTGACTTCCCCTATGTGGGAGGCCAGATATCCATAATGGATTTCCCCACGATAAAAAATAATAGGTCAACATCTTGTCAAAATTACCTAAAGTAAGCTAGCGGTTCACCTGATGTTAAATGATATCCACCACCCATTAACATTTGGGTGCAGATGCATTATCACGTTATAATAAATCGGGCTCCATTACCTTACTCACCAGACTAAAGGCAGAACTATAACACTTTCACTTCACGCCGATCTTCTGTGAAGTCGTGATACTTCCCTGGACGGACCTGCTACTAGTCAACAGATAGCTAATTTTTTTACTAAGATCCTTGGTATATACCTATAAGTGGTAGGACCACGCAACAGTATTCGCTGTTTTACGAATGGGCAGGTCCGTCCGGGTTAGTACTACGACCTCACAGAAGACCGGCGTAAAGTACATGTGTTACACTTCTGCGTTTGGTCTGGTGAGTGAGGTAGCCGGGGCACGCATTATGAAAAAGTGGCAACACATCTGCAACCGGTGTTGCAAATGTCCGTGGGCGGCGGTTATCACTTAACATCAGGTGAACCGCCAGCTCACTTGTTTCTTCTCACATAAAAAGAATAAAAACATTTGTAACTGTAATGTGGCGATGCAATGTTGTTAATTTTACCTAACTCTGTCTTCCACATAAGGGTTTAGCGTCGAGGTCTCGTAAAGTAAACAAATGACCTCATATCAGGTGACGCACTCCAGAAGATTGTGAACTGTACCACAGTTTTAGGGTACAGCATAAATATAAAATGCCTTTTTGCATTCATGCGGACGTGTCCGACCTTTACGAGTCTCACGACGAGTCTACTTTATGCGAAACGTTCCGAGTTTAGAATATTTATGATTCACGCTGGTCGGTTGCACACTTTAAGTTGAATATATTCACACATTCTTCAAGTATCTCGCTCTGTATTCATTTTGTAACTGATTTTCAGGAGGTCCCTACGTATCTCCGGAGCCCAAGATCCAATAGCAATGACATCAATATGGAACCACATGGGAAGCACCAGCTTTCAAATCGGTTTACTCAGTCGAAAACTCTGAGATAACAAATATAAAAAATACGAATTGTAAACCACATCCGTTCTTGAAATCGGTTGAAAAATCTGCCTGCGACATTGTTACGGTAACATTAGAATCTTATTTTCACAACTAACATACTGGTTTTGTCTATTCCACCTGGTGATATGTGACGAGAGGTGACAATACGTGAGCTTGTTTAGCATAATCTGTTCATCCGTGTTAATACGTGTACAAACAACCAGGGCGGTATGTTAATGATCCCAAGAGAATATTTGCATATTGTTTTTATTGTAGACTAGCTGAGTTGGCAAACGTCGTTTTGCCATATAAATTATTTCTAGAGGAATCGGAACGCACGCATAAAGCGTTTGACAGGTTACACAGGCATAGTTGACAGGTTGACAGGTACAATTTGTATAGGAAAATAAAATTGTTGCTATTTCGGTTTTCCATAATTTCTCATGTCTTAAACCCTTCCCTGGTCTGCCACAAATATTTCAAAACCAAAATAAGCCAAATCCAGCCGGTCTCGAGTTTTAGCGAGACTAATGAACAGCAATCCATTTTAATATAAAATATGCGTTAAGTATTTCTTTTATCTGCAGACTATTCTACAATTTCAGTTTTTATATGATTATGAACCCACTACTGAAAGGTTTTTGAAAAGGCCCATAAAGTGTTAAAATAGAATATGCAATTTTGTATTGGGATAAATCATTTTAAAAGTAAAAACTTTAAAAGTTAAATAACATAACATCTGGCACTGGGATTTTTCGTGACGATAGCAATGTATTAGAGTGTGTATTAGAGATTCCGTAAAGTGACACTTCCTTAGGACCTTCAATCTGAGGTATCTGATTGATGGTGAATTACGGTTGTGTAGCGCACTCAACGTCTGGGCCCATGCAATATAGTACATGTTAATAAATTTATAAAAAAAAATATTCTATTGTTCATTGTAAAAAAGTAAAGTAACAGCCTATACATGTCCCACTGCTGGGCAAAGGCCTCCTCTATACAGAGGGTATCAGGGCATAGTCCACCACGCGGCCCCACTGCGGATTGGCGGACTTCACATATCTTCGAAATATATTTTTTTTATTACTATTTCGAAAATATGCAGGTTTCCTCACGATGTTTTACTTCAACACGTTGCACGTGATAAGTCA